ACCATATAATTTTAAATTAATGTGTGCTGTAATAGTTTTGCATATGGTGCACAACTACTGCACGGTCAAGAATCTTCATAGCAGAATCGCTGTTGTTTAACAGAAATGAATTGAAACCTCCCCACACACAGCTCATGGGGGAAAATAAAAGAACTTATGCAGTTCATTCCATTCCCTACTCAGTCCTCTAATGACCCTTCATCATTCCTAAGATTGCAGGACACAGGCTAAGGAAATACAAGTAATCTGCAGGTAACGACAGTGGCTACACTGATGTCCTCAAAAGAATTTACTGCTGGGAGGATGAAAAGCTTCCCACCGAGTCTATGACTTTCTAGCTGCAAATTACATCATGAGCTCATATGTGCTTTTTTCTGGGTGGGGAGGGGTTGTGGAACACAATAGCATGTGTTAGAACATTCAGCAGGGACTCGTTTAGATGAGAATAAAAAAGGAAGAGGAGCACAAAAAAAAATCAGGAGGTTATTAGTTGAAGCATCAGTGCATAGCATCACAGAGAAATAGGAATGTCCGCGGAGATGTGCAATACTGGTCAGATATTTCTAAGACTGATATTAATACTAAGTTGATTGTGTGTTTAGCACACCACCCTGAGATGGTGATAGCAGTGAGGCTATGGAGTGAGACTCTCTTCTCCCAGGGATGTCAGGAGTTTTACAGCTCTAAGAAGATTATTCCCCCCTTTTGTAAGTGGTGAATTGCATTTGAAAAGGCTCGTTTATGCCCAGGTGTCAGGCTCCTTTGTCCCATCCCTTTTTATGGGTTTACCTGTCTTAATTGTGGTGATAAACCCATTTGTATGCAAGCAGGTAAAACACCACAAGAAATAAAGGAGAGGTCCAAGCCACTGGATCAGGTAGCTGCACCTGTACTTTGGAGAGTTAATTGTTTTCCCCTTGAGTAATTTCTCCAGATCAAAGGTTTTACACAGCTTGAGGCAACCACAGGCATGTGAAAATTCTTGAATTATTCCCCTGGCAAAAAGGGCCATGATTGAGGGTTTTTTTTGCTCAAACTCTCTTCAGCAGACCTTCAGCTGTCGAAGAAGGGTTGAATTTCTCTTTTATTCACACTTTATTTGCTAAAGCGATTCTTGGCAGTGATGGCAAAACGGCAATAGAAGTACCAGTAAATTTGTTTTTGGCCCTTTGTTTTTGAAGTTCTGAAACAAAGATGAGTAGTGTTTCTCTGGTAACAATTTACGGTGTGCTCAATTCAAACTCTGCAGTTTAAGTGTCAAAAGGGTTTTTCATGTTCTAAATTAATTTCATAGGCATAAGTTTATTAATGTTGATTTGGTCTATTATATATATCCCCACTTGGAGCCAGCGTGTTGACCCTTTTTTTTTTAAACTTTTTTTCCTTTTAAATGATTTTAACTAATATTGTGGTCTTCAAATGATTGTGATCCTTATTTAACATTCTGGTCTTCTGGCCAATAGGCGAGACAGAAACTATATTTTGTGTTTCTTTATGCTCTTTTTGCTTATACAGAGAATACAACCAGTGTGGAGAGAATGCAATTACATTTTCTATCCATTCTGTGTATGATGCTGATCTCCTGGCACTGTACATCAACGTGTACTGTGTGACTTATCCACAAAAGGTGAAGAATGTGGTTTAGTTATGTGTATTTTTATGATGACTGATAAATATCTGTAATTGCAAGTGTGTTGAAATAAATTTAGGAAAACTATTTTAAAAAACAGCACTGTAAATCACTTGTTTTTTGATTGGGACATACAAAAAATGGCACAAACATTGTCTGTTCCTCAGACTTGTTTGAGCTTTTTAAGCAGATGAATGATTAGCAGAAATAATGACCCTGTCAGCCTTAATCACATTAAAACGTGGTTAACATTTAATTTTTTCCACTTAATATGCAAAAATTTCCACTAGATTTGCAGTGAAGGCCATTGAAATTCCATTATAAGAAGAATAAAAAATTCAGGCATCATTTGTTCAGAGGAGGAGGAGGTCTGGACTAGAAACTGCTGAATCTTTCTATTAGTGGAACTGTGAATGATGGAACTGCACAGAGATTCACATATTGCCGCGCTGGGCATGTAACTATAGGTCAGTAGTAAGGTAATGTTTTTATTTTTTAAATAAAAAAAAGTTATTTTACTCTGGAAACATGTTATTGTGCCATACTGAACTGTTAATACTTTAAATCAAACACAACATATTCAGTGCAAAGGTAAAAAATGTACTTAGGTAGCTAATAGGAACATACCTATTGAGTATAGGTAAAATAAAAGGAAAATTTGACCTCACACTCTCTCAGGAAGTTGAAAAATCTGTTGTATTTCTTTTAAATCTTCAGAAGTGAGGTTTTGACAGCTGCAAGAGGTCCAGAGAGTCCTTTCCAACTTTAAAATATAGTTGTTGAAAAAATAACATGATTTGAATTGAATTTATAGTTGACAGAAATGTATATCATTTAATCCAGTCAGTTTGTTACTTTAAAAATGAAGTAAAGAAGTTGACTTGTACCATATAACATCTTCCAGTGAGGGGGAGCTATGAGAGAATCCCATTTTTAAATTAATTTGGTTCATTATTTAGTTCATATGCTTTTTGTGCTAGAAATGTGAAGGTAAACCCCAGGTTTTTTTTGGTAACATGAGTAATTTCACCTTGTCTTGTTTTTGAGGTTCCCCCCTTCACTCACCATACCATCCCTGCGTTAGATTTCCACACTGTTCTTTGATAATGAAATTGTCTCAGCTCCTATTAGGTAACAACTAATAAAAGTACCTTAAAATACCATCCAGTGGGAAATGACAGTAAGTGCCGTGGATCATGGCTACCATCAGTGTGAAAGTAGGAAGGATGAGCAGATTTAGTCAAATCTTACAGCTCTCGAGCAGGTTGGATGTGTACAGACCATGAAAACAATTGAATTCACAATTCATTTGTCAGGTTGCGCCTTTTGTTTTCACATTTACTTTTTTGTGTGTTTCTGTAGAGGCCTGTTTTAGTCAATGTATTACGGAAAGCCATCTTTCGCTGCCATTTTTCATCATCAGATTGGTTTGCCTTAGGACGATACAAGAAAAAGGCACGCTTGTAGCAATATTATTTTGCAAATGAAGGCAGAGCTCGGTATGGTATATCACAAGCATGTTTTGACAGTAGCAAAAGGCAGCCTACATATGCACTGCTGCTTGTGCAGATCATCAGATCGCGCCAGGCATTTTGTTTTAAAATATAGCTGTCGATGGAAAATTTTAAATTGGTTTAAAGTGTTGCCTTTTAGTAAACTTTAATCTGTAAAGCAACGGAGCAGAGCAGTGGAGCCTGGAGAATTTGATTACTTTGTTCTCACAGGATTTTGTCAGGTCCCATGTCACTCAATTTAAAGACCTTCAAACCCCTGTGCTCATTTACCGTTCGCTCTTACCCTTTCTGCTTTTACATTATGAAAATCATCTGTCAACACTTTAAAAAGAGTCTCTTTGTTATTTAGCTTGTGATGCTCAGCACTGTCAGGTTTGCACCAATTATAGTTTCAGGTACAGGGGTCTATTCACTGGATCAAAGCCTCTGACTAGAGTTGGGAGAATGATTTGTGAATCGTTATTCAACCGTGTTGTCGAACGGAATACCTGAGGAATGCAAATAATCCCAGTAAGAGCGGATCACAAAGCTCTTAAAATGACAAACCACAACTGTTATTATCGAAGATGGGATTTTTAGCAAGGAGCAAAGTTCTCTTCCTTGCATCCCGTTTTGATAAGTTTGTGATTTACCAGTCACACCATGCACTGTTCTTTACAATAAATGTCTGCCGTCTTATGTTAAATCACTGTAAATCAGAGCTCCAACAAAATCACCAGGTGTGCTGCACAACTACAGTTCCTGAAGTATTAGATAGTTATGGATGTGAAAAGTAAGTAGTTTATTATACATATAGTTTAGGCATAAAGATCCTTATAAGATTTGTACACCTATTGCACGTGCTTAAACTGTAAATTACATGTATTCAGCCATTAATATATCTTTACCTTTCTCGGTTGTCCTTAGTGCTGTCTGTGGGTCTGCGATGTTTACTTATAGCTGAGCTATTTAAACTCCTCCACCAGTATACAGTAATAAACTAGGGTTTAATTTTGTTTGGCGAAAAATGAAAAGCGATTACCTTGTAAGTGCGAACCAGTGCAGCAAGCTTTTCGGATGGATTTTTTTTAGTTTGAAGAGATGACAAACTGGTTGTGTTTGGGGAAATAGCACTGGCATTTAGTATGGTCTTGGCTTTTTTTTTCTCTTAGTACTTTAACAGGTTTAAAACGGAAATGGGGATTAAAGGTAATGACAGGATATTTCTTAAGCAATCTTACATGTGAGCGCTAACAAACTGAAGTGTGAAAATTGGGTTGTGAACCTATTTTTTGGGATGAGTCCAAACCCCTGCTGAATGGGTGTGTGCCTAATCTCATAATTGTTCCCATCTCCTTCCACTTTGTTCAGAAAGAAAATCGTGATTAACTGCAAGGCTATCTTTGTCCCATAATGTCAGGTGTCCTGCTGTTACTGCCTATTGGCCAGAACAATTATTTTGTCTTGAGTTGCGAAAACCAGAAGGGCTTTAAAATGGCTGAAAAGGAAAGAACTTCAGAAGGCCGAATTCCCCGGTATCCTTAAGTTAGGTGAGCACATTCGTGAGAAGGGACGTGCACAGAGACCTCTGAAAATTGCTTTTTGAGAAACGAGGAAGGAGGAATCTACCCGGGAACAGCGTTATTCATTGCGGTGTATATACACACAAACATGTGCATCTCGACCTGTAAAGTTTCAAACACATGCATTAAAAATATAAAGCAGTATTACTGATACCCTCTGACCTGGGAGACCCACAGACAAGAGGGGCAGCATTAACACGCCATGTTGTGATGAATATGGATGTGCTAGATGGTAATGACTGAAGCACTGACATGCCAGTTCCATGTTAATGCCATTGCCCTTTCTGTCTACAGGTTGGTCAAAATTAAAGAGTGGGTGGACAGTCATGACCCAGGGGCTATGGTCATCCCCTTCAGCGGCGGACTGGAACTCAAGCTCCAAGACATGAGCGATGAGGAAAAGGAGAAGTACACAGAGGAGCATAAGACACAAAGGTTAATTAGCATTCATTTTCCCTACACTTTATTATCAACTATTTCCTTGCAGTAATTTAATTGCTTGTGCTGATAGAATAATAAATGACAGAGTAATTACCATTATAAAGCAGGAATCCTTCTTTTTACGGTAAGACACAGTGAAAGGATTTATGTTAAATTAAGTTTTTAACTGTCATCTGTCATCTCTGGATAATTATAACTTGGACATTTTGCATGCATTTTTCTCAGAATATAAAAAATATTGCCTAATAATACGGTTAAAGACTTCTGCAGTACATGGAATGTAGCGTCCTGCAGATTTATGAAAGGTACTAAAAGCGTCTCATCTATTTGAAGACAGGTAGAGAAAAAAATAAACCCTTATTTTTGTATGTTTGAGTATATTTTGGATCAGAGGTATTTTTCCACACTAAACCTCAAACATTTCAGTTAAAAAGCAGAAAGTTAAAGGTTGTCTACCAGTGCCTGAAATGAAAATTGAAGTTGGAATTTTTTCAACTCTCTTATTAAACCAGAATGTGTGTGTGCATGGTCTAAAATAGTTGATCTTTTTTTCCCCTTCTCAGTGTGCTCACCAAGATCATTAAGAGCGGGTATGCAGCTCTTCAGCTGGAATACTTTTTCACTGCTGGACCAGATGAAGTGCGCGCTTGGACCATCAGGGTATGTTTCATAGCTATTCACAGGCTCTATCCAGTTCCACACTATTGAATACAGATTGATATCACGGAATTTGAAGTTTGTCATGGTAGCGGTTAGCTAGTCATTACAGATGAGGTTATTGTCCAGGATAACTTTAATTATTTGTGAGCTGTTGAACAGTGAAAGTGGGGCTGCGTTGATTGAGGAGGGTAACAATTGATTCTGCCTATTACATACTCTGAATTTTTTCATCCTGTAGAATCTGCCTTCCCTCCTCCTGTGGCCAGAGATAAGGAGCCTTGGTATTGTGCTTGCTTAATCTGTGTGACTGGGTTTGTCTCCAATGAAATTGATGTCGCTTTTCATTTTGTGTTTGTTGGGGTTGCTGGGTGGCTTTTTCCTCTTGTATCTTAGTTACTGTTCACCGTCTGCATTTCAAATGGAAGACTCATCGTAATACAGATGTTGAATTTGTGTAACAGACAAATTGTGCAAATATTTTTTATTTACTCAGTGGCATCTCTTACATCCTGTTACATTTGCACCACAGCATTGACTTGCTTTAAATTCAAGAGGTGACTGGGGATTTCTTGAATATTGGATGCAAACTAAGATGTGAAACTGGTGATACAACATAAAACTTTTCAGTAAATGTTCTGAAATATCATCATCTTACTATAAGAACATATTTCTGTTCATTCCAATGCTCATTCCTGGGCTATGGTTATCTTTTTTTTTTCTATAAAATCTGTGTATTTTGGTACAATCACATACAGGCCACAGATCTTGAAAACCTAATGGTCTCCACATTCAAAGATAATCTCTTATAATTAATCTTATAATTAAAATCCGTATCATAGTGTCTTCAATAAATGGATGCTGGTTTTCATTTTAGTTTAACTGATTGTAGGTAGCCTTGATTTTATGTGAGGGGCATTTAGTCAGGTAAGCATCACTGAGTAACTATATTAACCCAATACATCTTTTATTATAAAAACTGCATTCTGTAATGTCAGGCTCTTCAGCACTTTAACATGGTTTATTAGGCAGCCTTGAGGTCACCATTATCTATCAGCCAGCTCTGCATGGTTATATGTGCACAGAATGTATACCCTTGTAATTCACCATATGGAAAAATCACAGTCTAATGTATTTTTCTCCACCTAGACAAACCCTGATGCTGATTAATGGTAGTTATACTTGTAAGTGCTCTGTCAATGAAATTACATGGGGATGGTAATATATTGGAGTCATTAAATACACATCATTCTTTGGCATGAAATATGTTGACCCTGACCTTATTATATACATAATTAAAAATTGCTTAACAGTTTCCTGAACACAGGGTTGGGTTGATGGTGTACTGACAGACAGAAGTCATAAAAAGTGGAAGAGGATGTTTTTTCCTTTCTTATTTTTAAGTTTTCTGCTCCCACTTCGATGAGTAGAATTTTTAATTCTCTAATGATTATACACTATTTGTGACGAAGGGTAATGGAGTCTGCATAAATAGCTGTACACTAAATATAAATTAAATTTCCTAAAATGCAGGTGGAATTTGCTAGACTAAATTGTTTAGTCCCATGCTTGACGATTATTTTATTGAAACCTGGTACATGTACATTCTTTCTTTGTGGATTTGCGATTTGTTTTGTGCATTCAAATCAGGCACCTTGATGAAGTCTACGATAAAACCACAGAAGCTGCTACAGACCTTTTTACATCCCAGTAACCCTGTATGTTGGCGATCATCAGGTTGTGCATGAAAAGTTTAGGAACCCCAGAAAGGAGAGGGTTAACATGGAGATGATGCATTGATTTTTATATTTTGAGTACATTTGTGATACAAGGACTCCGGACATATATCTATAAAATCCCACGTTACTGTATATTTGAAAACTGCTAGGTTTGATCTGTGGAGGTCAATAAATTCAATTATAATCTCAGTTTCTGTAACCAAAACATCACCTTGGACACCAGAGATGATCAGAGGCTGAGCTGAAACCCACAATGAAACAAGATTGCCTCAGCTGAAATCAATACTACCTCGAAATCTGTATCAAAAATTGCTGCCTTGCATTGATAGCAGCAGTATGCCCTTATCTTGAGTGAACGCAGCCTCTGTGAGCAGCATCTGAACAGTATTCCAATATCGGGAGTGAAATGATTGTACTCCTGGCATGCCCAGCGATATGAAGCAATGTTTCATTGAGTCCTGATTTGATATCAAAAGAGGTGACAATCTGTGCTGTAATCCATCTTCTTAAAAACAATTAATTGTCCTTGTTTTTTTTTTCCCTGACAGAAAGGAACGAAGGCACCACAGGCTGCAGGGAAGATCCATTCGGATTTTGAAAAGGGCTTCATTATGGCTGAAGTAATGAAATTCCAGGATTTTAAAGAAGAAGGCAGCGAGTCTGCTGTCAAGGTGAGACATTTCTTTTGGAGCTGCTTAGACATTACTTTCAGATGAGAGAAGTCTCTTGTGATCAGTGGACCTGACACTCACTTTGGGTTTTTGGCTAGGCAGCCAATACAAATGTACTTCACCTTTACACAGGGGAAGAAATTACCACGCGCTCCCACTCCAGACATGACAAGTTAACAGACTCCATGACTAAATGCCTTCATTTCCCACACATATGTAGGATCCGTCCTAATCAGAATAATATTAAACAGACTTCATCCATTTTTTTTCTCCTAATTCAAAACTGGGCTGTCTAAGGAAAGAATGGTGTACGGAATGTCAAGTTATCTCTCTGAATATTTGCTGTCAGATCCCAAGCTACTGTAGCTCAGTGATTGTGATATGAAAAGGCAAGTTAAATAAAGTGTGTAATTCTTAACATAAGAACTGTTTCACGGATGAATACCACATAAAAGTGGCTTATATTATCTTCTTTTATAGCTGGTAATGTGTTTTGACCTTTTTACTGGCCCATGTTGTTTTTAAACAATGTGGCCAAAATTGAAAGAGTCAATGCCAGCAATGGATTTAAGACTGAATTTTCAAAAATGAATACCTGTGCAACAAATATGCCAGGTGAATATTGTGTTGGTTCATTTTATGTCCTTAAATATGAGTACCTTTTAATTTTCAGTTTTGTTTGATGAAGAGTGTTTTTATGGTTGTATTAAATATGGTGAATTCAAATCTACCTGGAGAGGTAACGTTGTGATTGTTTCCCTTTTACTGAAGGGAACGAATACAGTTCCACATAAAAATACAGTACCTTAGTGGCTATGGCTAATTAGGATGAGAGTGTGGTTTAGCTTGGTCAATGTTATTGGTTTTGCATATTAATTCCCTTAAAAAAACAAAATTTAAATATGGAAACTTTGTGGTTAACTGGCCTATGCTAAGGAAGCTGTTATAATAATTCATTAATATATCATTCATATAGTTATATCTAGAAAATACATTGATTGGATTAAGTGCTTGAACTTTATTTGAGAAGATGAAGCTAAATAAAGGAGCTATTGTAACAAGGCTTGAGACAAGGCCTAATAATTGTAAGGGAACAGGTAAATGTTTATTTCATGCTGAAAGGAAAAGAGACAAAGTTCCGGCTTTTGAGCCTTCTTCGGGTGTGAAGAAAACTTTACCTGTTCCTTTGCAGCCTACGCATGCTGACGCAGCTACCTACTTAAATAGTTAGCTTGTATATACACGATGGTTACTGTATATTCAAAAATGTTAAGTATATTTCACAGAGGTATTGTAAGTCAGCCTGGACAAGGTTGTCCACTGAGCAGATAATCAGGAACACCATCCCTCAGGTATGGGGAACTGGCCGTACCACATTAAGACCCGGTATACCTGAATATCTAGGAAAACACTTCAAAAAACATTTTATCTTTTATTAAGTAGCCAAAAAAAAGTTATATTTTAGTTATATTCCATTATATTTCAAATAACATGACGTAGATTTTTTTCCAAGTTTGAAAAAAAAAAACAAATTTACACAATATTATGTTAAGGAAAAAGAAATATTTTTCTCTTGCTCATCTAGAAGAATGAAAACCTCAAATTGCTGCCACACAGGGGTGGAGCCTGGAAGACCTCTGTTTCTCTTGCCTGATTCGTCGTCTGCATGCATGCAGATTCCATCCCCACGTAGATGATATTTCATCAGATGAATGTGACTCTGGCTTACTTACAAGTGCGAGACAGTCTGGGAACTGGCACCACATTACAGTACAGCTCCCACACAGTGCTAGAGGTCAGCTTCTGTGGCCGGTATCCTGGAGGAATATGGTGTATTACTGCAGTTCCTCTGCACATTGGAAAAGTGTTGGTAGCCATACCTCTGTCTTCTAGAAATATGGGAATGTCTTTTTAGTTTCCAGTTATGCAGGCAGTAAATACTGTGGGGCTTGTTGGCAATGTGCTGTTTTGTCTGACCACGCAACTTGCAAACAAGATGTGAGATTGTTCTGCCTTAGTGCTCTCCATTGCTGTGGTAATATAATTTAGTTATATATAATATAATAATGTGTATGCTTTTGCAGCATATTTCATTTTGGAGCAATTTAGATTTTTTTTATTTGTTTAAATTGCACATGTATTTCATATAATACAATACTCGTGGGAAAAACAGCTAGATGAATGTCATTTTCATTTACACGTTGGATCTGAGTTCACACTATAAAATCCATTCTCTTTATACAGCTATTAAAAATCTTTTGAAGTATTTGTACTTCTTTGTAAAATATATACTGTAGATCTCCTTTTGATTAGGAACAGACACCTGCAGGAATCAGGAATAACGAGAGGTTGTAGACTAGTTTGTGACTTATTAATTACTGTTGAATGGTAAATCTTGTAAATACCTTTTGAGCAAGGCTTAATTGAACCTTCTCTTTAACCCAGATGATCAGTGTCAGCTTTTCAGTGCTGGGCAGTGACAGAGCACAGAATGGTAGAATGGTAGACATATAAATACAAATTTTCAGTCACTGATGTTACAGAAGAAATGTTATGCTTAAATTGCATATTAATTTTATTTTGCTGATGTTTTTTTTTTTTGCTGAAGCCATTTGTTTTGTATGTTTTTGTGTGAGTTTTTATGAAGTCTAAACAACTCTTTTTACTCATCACTATTAGTCAAATAAGCAGTATTTTCCCTGGCTATCCAACATACTGTGTACCATTTTTACATATTAGCATCCACATCTCCATTAATTTGTACTTAAGATACTGCTTAAGTGTACCTTAATGAAGTTTGTTTGCTTTAAGAACATCTAATTTTTTCCTAATTGATTAGACTTTTTTACTAGAAACAATTTAAATGCATGTTTTATCAATTCGTTACTCAGACATTAGCCTTAGAATTGCCGTTGGAAAAAATACATACAAATATATACTTCAGAATTTTATTTCTGAATGTGGAAGGTTATTTTTACATTGAGCTTTATAATATAGACTAAACTATTAAAATTGTAATAATCAAAACATTGTGATTTCCATTGGCTTTCCTGTCATTACAGTGTAAATGAACAAGAACCTCTCAGATTCTTCACACGTCAAAGTGAAACCTTTACAGTTCAGGCTCAGCCTCGACTGTCCCCCCAGGGTTATATTCTAGTCCAATAAAGGGTCAAATTCTGGTCAAATCAGATAGTCAGCAAGGTTATTCATTCTTGGGTTGTGGTGATTCGGTTCTGTAAAAATCAAAAAGGGCACGTGCTGGACAAAGAGCCAGTTTATTTTTGGAGTTTAAGAATGGGGCTTTCAGCTGTGCCAAGTGCTTATATATCATGGTTTGATGAGGGACTGGGAGGAGCTCCTTGTTTTTTAAGATTTCCATAAACAGCTGATAGTGCTAATTAGATCTTTTAAAGCTTCTTTGACAAGTCTAGCTAATTTAGCTGGGTGCTGTAGTACTCTTCAAAAAAAAAAAACACAGAGCAAGCAACATAAATTGGCGCACTAGTGAAATTCCCCAGGTTAATTCTGAAGGTCTTGAAAATTCGGCTAAGATAGATCACAGCCTAGGTTTTCACTGCATGTTATCTGCTTAATCCTTTTTTTAAGTGTATTTCAGTGTTGAGCCCAAGTACAGCATAGCTAATACCATTTAATGTCAGTGGTATGAACTAGACATTGAATAGCTCTGTGTGGGCTTTATAGTGTATAGGGATATCACATTATTAGTAATCATATCTGCTTAGGCAAAGCTTGCTCCTCCAGATGGCTGCTTTCAAGTGCAAATGAACTGGTTAGACGTGTCTAGTTTAATACATACTCAGGAATCACAAATAGCCATTGATTTTTTTCCCCCCTCCTTCAACCAGTGTTTTCTGGTGGTATTGAGAATGGATTAAATGGTCTCCAGAGCATTTAAAAGGAACATTGATTCTTTTAATTAATTGTACACTCTGTTCAACCAGAATGCATAAGCTATTGCATATTAGCACATCAAGTAAATTATATGAAGTTTGATAGAAGGAAAAAGGCAAAGCTGATGTATATAAAGAAAACCTTGAAACTTTTTTCTTTAAAATAGTAATATGCCTGATTTAAATGCATTGTAAAATTTCACATGCAATTTTTGTACTAACCTCAGACTGATAAATGGAATTTCTACACCATTGTTTGAGCCTGATATACTTTAAGAGTACTGTTTTACAGCACGGGGATGTACAATAATCCTATTGTATGCTTTCTCTTATTCAAAATGTATATATTTCTGTTTAATTCACAGGCGGCTGGAAAATACAGACAACAGGGTAGAAACTACACTGTGGAAGATGGAGATATTATCTTTTTTAAATTTAATACGCCAAATCAGCCTAAGAAGAAGTGATCTGGAAGCGTTTTTCCCCAGTAAATGAACTGTGTGGTGAGGGAAGGCTGTTCATTGTTTTAGACAGAATTAGCTGGAAGGAGTGATTGGTACCTGCCAAGGATCAGCAGTGCCTCTGCCCAGCCCCATTATCTGTGTTTGTTTTTTGGCTTCGATAATACAGCTCCCCGAAAGCACAGGTCCACTAAATGTTGACAGCTTTGCTATTTAAGATTAGGACCCCACTCCAAATTGTAGAAGCATTTGAAGAACCACATTACTCTCATGATACTTCATTAATCTCCATCATGTAAGCCAAACTTGACACATTTGACAGCTGCGACAATGCAACTTGCTCCTTTCTGAATCTACAGATAATGCATGTTTTACAGTACCCCAGATGTCTACACTCAATAAAACATTTGACAAAACCAGCCTCTGTGTGTTTGGGGATGTCTGTATTGACTGACTGTGGTGTGCTGAATGTGATATGGCACCTGGTGTAAGCTGATTACAGAATTAAAAGACGAGGGTGATGGAGAAACTGGCAGCATGGGGCAGCCGTAATTGTATCTTTAAAGTGATTCTTTTATTGGATTCGAAAGGGTAGGATACTGATGATTTTATACTAGGAGAAGGGAGGGGGGGCTGCTAGTTTCCGTTCATTGGTCAGGTAAAATAAAATGTGAATGAACCATTTTTCAAAAAGAGTTTGAGCAGTTCATTTTTAATGCACTTGAGGTTATTAAGGCTTTTTGGAAGGGGGATACAAACCACAGATTCATATTTATAGCAAACCTAGCTACTTAATGGAGAAGCTTAAATGAGCTAGAATGCTTCCATTCTAGAGGTGCTTTAGAGATTTGATCAAGGACAATGTAACTATTATTGTGCATTCTGCTGCAAGAAAACTCAATTTTCTGTCTCCCTTTCTGCCATTTTTCTGTTTTTAAGAAAATGACAAAACATACATGCTGTATACTTTTTCAGCGCTAGTATGTTATTTACTCTGAAAAAATTAAGATATTCAACTTCCATTCACATGTTGTGTGTTACAGGTAAGTGCAAGTTCTAGTTATAGCTGAAGGAAAAGCAGTGAATTTTGAAGATGGTCAGCTAATAATTGAAAGGCAATGGCTTCCCATTTCTTCTTTAATGTTTTTAAATTAGTTTGATTTTTATAGGTACTTTAAAAAGTCCTCTTGCATTTTAAAGATACTTATCCCCTGGAAGTGTGAGCCAGTAATTCATAACACTTTACATCTGTTTTTGGCTTCAAAGGGAGTGTGTTATACATTTGTGCCAAAAAAAAAAATCTTTCATATCATTCCCAGGCCACAGATTTAATTTTATTCCCCTCTCGTCACTTTATTTGTAAAGCTTACATGAAGCATTTATGCTAATGGAATTGTAGGACTGCTGTACAACTGCAAAGCAAGATTGCCGACACCACAGGAGTGAGAACACAGCACAAATCAACCCTCTCACACGAATATTTTTCAAACATAAATAACCCACTTTGAACGGAGAATAAAATGTTGCATCGATGGAGGCACAACGATTGAATAAAAATGGTCATTTTGGAGGAATGATGCTGAATGCAAGAATTTGCAGCAAACGTATGCATTTACAAAATAAAGCATGTAAATCATTTTTTGAGGGTGGTGTTTAGCTTTCAGATTCTGGTGTTGCTCTTCGTAAAAAAAAGTGGGCGCAGAGAAATGCGATTGTGCCAAAGGAAAAGGTTGCTCAATGTTGACATTCATATTGGGATGATGAGAAAATGTACGTTTGTCATTCTCTTGCAAAAATGTGAGAAGTCTGTGCTTGTGAATGAAGAAGCATGCTGTTGTTCTTCCAAGGCCTGCTTTGTGCATTGCGAGGGTTGTGCAAGTCTTACACGACAGAGCATTGCCCATATTGTGCATACAAACAAGAGTTCCAATATGGCAAACATGTAATGTTATATCCACTTAGCAAACTAACCATGAAGCATTATAAGTCCTTTCTCTGTAGGCACAATGGGATAGCTTTTTTTAGTGTTACCAGCATTTGCATGTGTCTTGTTAATGGAGAAATCCAGTTGAGCCTACAGTGAATCTCCACTGTGTTTCCCAAGATTGACAGGATGTTTGAGAGAGACAAATTTTAGAAGTCCGTCAAATGTCAGCTGCAGGGATACTCGCTAAAAATGCCACATACTACAGAACACTACTTCTCAATGCCTACCTGGGATTGAATGCTGTGTGTATATTGTCTGTGAAAGAAAAGACAGAATGAGGGCAAAACCTGTGAAGTGCTTTTCTCATACCTTGCTAATTTGAGGTCACTGTGGTCAACGTGGAGGTGAGGTGTGTTCACATATGTACAGAGGCTATCACAAATATTCAACCCCATTGGACTTTTTCACATTTTGTTTTACAATATGGAATCCTGTTTTTAATTGGGAATTTTGTTTGCTATTGACAGACACAAAACACTGTAGGATGTCAAAGTGAAAACAATTCTACAGATCCTCCTAAGTGAAATTTAAAACAGAAAAAAACTCACTCTGTAAGTATTCACCCCCTTTCCTATGTCACTCCTAAACAGGCTCTGGTACAACCAATTTTTGTTTTATGTCACATTTGAATGGAGTCCAACTATATGCTGTTCTGTTCTGTTTAAATGCACATGGCTTAACGGTTAATTAGTACGGCTCCCAACAAACATTACATCATGAAGATAAGGAACATTCAAAGCAAGTCTGGGATAGGGTCATTCAAAAGCACAAAGCAGAGGAAGGGTATAAGAACATTTTCAAGGCATTGAATATCCCCAAAGTACAGTAAAATCATTCTAAAGAAGTGGAGAAAATATGGCACAGCTGTGAATCTGTAGAGCAGGGCATCTTTAAAAAGTAGAGTATCAGGGCAAGAAGGGCACTCGTTAGAACACCAAGAGGCCTACGACAGCTCCAAATGAATTATAGTCTTTCACGGCTGAGATGGAAGAAACTTCATACAATGGCAGTTGCCCTGGTGCTTCTCAACTTCATGGCTTCATGGGAGAGTGACAGAACAAAAGGCATTGTTGAAAACAAATATCAAATCTCAACTACAATTTGCTGGCAGGCATTGAGAGAGTGTGAGACCAAGTGGAAGATGGTTCTATGGTCTGAGGAGACCAGAATTAACCTTTTTGGCCTCAACACTAAGGGCTGTGTGGGTGCAAGAGTAACACTGCACATCATCTTAAGAACACCGTCCCTGCTGTGAAGCATGATGGTGGCAGCTTTATGCTCTTGGGATGCTTCGCAGCATCATGGCCTGGAAGACGTGTGTTAATAGAAGGGAAATTGATGCAGCAAAGTACGAAGAAAGAAAACCTGCTGCTGACTTCCAACAGGACGATGACCCAAAACATGAAGCCAAAGCCACACGGGAGTAGCTTCAAAACAAAAATGGCAATGTTCTGGAGTGGCCCAGTCAATTCGAAAAATCTACGTCAGGAACTGAAAATTGATGTTCACCATCCGACGTGAGGGACCTTGAGCAATTCTGCAAAGAAAAAAGGAAGAATATTGCATTGTCCAGATGTGCAAAGAGGGTAGAGACTTATCCCCCCATTAGAAGTAATTTCTGCCCAAGGTGCTTCTACAAAATATTGACTCGGGGGGGTGAATGCTAATGCAATCAGTATTTTTTGTTTCATGTTTACAATTAATATGGAAGGATCTGTAGAATTTTGTCTTCACTTTTAGGCATGTGATACACACCCTAATGTTGGCTCAAATGATGACTAGCAGCTTAAGCACATAAATAGTAATGTATTCATAAGTTTTAGTTTTCTCCTCGTCTCTATTAAACAGATTTTTATTGTTTGCTGAAAGGGTATATTGATTGGGCAGAGGCATCTGCTTATACTGGAGTAGTTCAGGTGGGTAGCTGCGTCAGTATGCATAGGCTGCAAAGGAACAAGTAATAGGTTTATTCCATGCTGAAAAGAGAAAAAAAACATTTTGGCCGTGGAGCCTCACACCTGAAGAAGGCTCCACGGTAGAAACGTTGTGTTTTCTTTCTTCTCTTTTCAGCATGGAATAAACCTATTGTTCATCTGCTTATACTGTTCAATTATTGACTAACATAGGTTCAAGAAAAAGGAGACTCCACCGGTGGGTAATCTCAATGTAACTGTCATGAGGAAGGTAGTGTTGAACGTCTCTATCTACTTTTAACAGCCATATGTTACCTCATGCACACACAGGTATTAAAAGGGGCACACAAGGTGCTAATTACCTTTGTCAGCCAAAATGTTCTCACGTAAACAGTTATGAATTTTGTGAACACTGCAAAGTGGAAGTGCATGCTGGGAGTTGGGCGGCCCTGTTCTCCTATGAAAGCAGCAAGGCTGTGTTGCAAAATCCAGGCCAGTCAACGTTTTGCTGCCTTTGAAGCACAAACGAATCATCAGATTAAGGCTTCAGGATATGTTGAGTACAGAAGGTTTCACTGGGCCAGTTCAGCAAGCCTTGAAAGGCCGGAAGGCACGAGTCCTTTAAAAAGAATACGCATCTCGTGGACTGGCCAGTGAGGGCCAGGATTTGGGATCTCTGACCGATGACAGTGTCCTCCAGTTGACAGGAAATAAGTCATGAGTAGAGATGCTTTTTTCCTATATGGGATTTGTAAGCCCAGCACATGTGAATGCTGGCTGGTTTACCCTTTCTGAGCATTCCATGAATTCATAAGGGCCTTTGGCAGTTGGGATAATACTTTATATTCCTCTTCATAGACTCCCTGATTCAAACCATGCGGTTTCCCCTGTTTGGGAGCGGTGATAGTGTTGGCCAATACTAAAAACCAACATTTGAGCAATTTTTCAAATTTAATAAGTTCGGGGATTTATGAGTTGTTTGCTGTGGTTTAGCTGTACTGTTTTGTTTTTATACAATGACAGTAAAATTTTACAAATGGTAATAAAGTTATTTAGAATTTATGCAGAGGCACCCTCTCAGTCAGAATACCATGAAATCTTTTGCTCTTTAATCATCTCACAAGCAGGCCATTGTATGAGCGTCTTAATACTGACATGCTGGCTTCCAAAGAACTGGAGCAAAACAAACTCAGAAGAAAACCCAACATTTATTCTAAAAAAATTGTAATGTATATATATATATGCTTGTGCTGGTTACACATCTGTTTAAATCTTTTTAAATACTGCCTCTGACAGATTTGTACACCATTGTACCGAGGTTTGAAATCGTTTGATTAATTTCCGTTCTGGCTGTATTATTAATGAGAGGAGGTTGACTTATAAAAATACAGCTCTTCGATGAGCTGCTTGTCAGATTCTGTGGCATAATAATTTGGGAAACAAACGGCAATCTGTAACGCATGAATGGAACTTTGTGATTAAATCTCTTCAGTGCAGGTTTTTTTCACTCATTAGTCCAT